CTGACGGGGCCGGTCTAGCACAGAAGAGAGGGGGTCACTAGAACAGAATTGTCTTCGAGCTGGACGTTTTTTTATACATAAAGCAGAACCACAAGCCTTGGCACACCAAGGTTCATTTACTGCACCTCCACGCTGTTTTCGTGCTCTCTCCCCCTTCCTGCTAACTTCAGCCTGCAGTTCACTGCAGGCAGCCTTGGGGTGACCACAAGGTGAGCTGTGCTTTGCAAGGCCTTTGCTGCCCCTTTCTAATGATCTAATTATTTACATAACACCCTTTTCCAGCGCACAGATAATTGGAGAGGGACAGGCCAATTGAAGTGGCAAAAACAGTGACGAGTTAAATCTCGAATTAGCATTTAAATTGGTGAGAAAAGTGAGAAAATTAATGGCGAGCTAAGGACTGTTACATAATGTAAGATATAACAGTCCTGTGACTCCTGATGTGTCTTTTACAGCTACCCGTGCAAAAAATATAAAGTACAAAAATCATCGTCGGCATCATCTAAAATGTTAATACAATATTTCTCATCCAGAAGTTTTACACACCTGAATGATTTTTCTTACAAATTACAACTGAAGAATCCACTGCCATCTAAAGCCATTTTGCGGAGAAACCCGTGTAATATGTTCAATGTTAAAAAAAGTACGAGTGCAAGTTATGTACTAGTAAGAAACTGTACATAATAATTACTGTATGTATGTTACATCAGGAATGCATACACTGAAAGTGTTTCTCATTGTGGAATTAGACCAAGTAAGGAATCCATGCTTGTATGTAGTATGTCCTATATGTATTGTCAAGGCACCTTTATCAGATTATATGAGCTGATGGTTCTTATTTTCATAATGGTATGATATCATAAAGGTTATCAAAAGAAACTTTAGACAAGTTTAGTCTTTGCTTCAGTTTGAAAACCTTAATAATTACAGTAGATAAAAAGGAAGATGTGCACAAATATGTTTAATCCCTAATTTATACCATTCTGAGTTAATGATATTAAAAATAATCCAATCTCTCCACGTGCAGTACTGCACTATATACAGTATACACACTGGTTTGTTTTATTTTCCCTGTACCACTATCTTTTACAGTACATTCTCATGGCTACCTTTATGTAGAACAGAGAAAGTAGTTCATTAAATCTCACTTTCCCCTCACAATTTTACCCGTAAATAAAGTTCATGTCTGGCTAGTTGCTGTATTCCACAGTTTTAAAGGTAATTGAAAATGTGATAAGTCACAAGTGCAATTTAATGTGCGGGCTACCAGCGTGAGCATGCAGACGGTAAGAGGTCAGGCTGAAATTAATTTTTAAAAAGGACCCATAAAATTGCATTCATGATAGATGGAGTGTAAAAGCAATATTTAAATGAATTTATGCTCATATTACTCACCGACTTGACATGTTAACAATTTTCAAATAAAAAACGTTTTTCACTTCATTTTTGAAACATGGGCATTATTATTCACAACTCCTGGCCTTCTAATAGAGGGTGGTTATAGAGTTAGTAACACCATTGTAGCAAATGAAGCATTGAATATGGAGCCACAACATTTGTTGTATATTATTAACGGCCAAAGGGAGACAAAAAAACTCAACGTTCTGGGTGAACAAAGGAGTTATGTAATTCACACGAGCCTTATTATTGTCAAGGTACATGCAGCTGAGTACAGAAGGTGCATTTACTGTATAAATGCTACAGGTTGTTCTTCACTACAGTCATTTTTAACTCCACATCCCGAATTGCTGGGTCTGTAAGTCCATCGCAATGACACAAGTCTGCAGCACAGTTCGTAGTTCAGAGGAGCCTCTTCTTTGACAGCCTGTTGTGAGTGTTGACTCTGTTCTGTTCGGTGCTGCATGGCTGCCATGTCTGCTGCTCTACAGGAAGCACGTTTCTCCCACTCGCCTGGAAATAAAGGCTGGACCGTTCCCAACGAACCCAGCGCCCACCGCAGTTTCCCTCCCTCCTGGAAAGGCAAATCAGGAAAAATGCCATGACTGGGAATAGATGGGAAAATACCAGAATAAAGTTGAAACAGGAGGCTACATTTCCTACTGAGTACAGAACCGCCCCTTAAGATGTGTATCGCCAAATCAGTCTAGTGCCTTACCAAAGAGCACCAGAGCCAAGAGGAGTACTGCTCTGGTGGGATATGCTGCGGCTCTGATCCTCTTGATTTGATCCCACTCTCTGCTCACGGTCATTGGCTGTCATTCCTAAAGGACATTTCCCTTCTGACATCCATATTTACAAATAAACATTAAGATCTGCACCCTAAATGCAGTCATTTTTGTCTTTTTGTTTTACATAACAGACTTTTTAAGTCTTAAAAGCAACTTATCAGCTTTGTCGCTTTCGATCACGCTGTCAGGATCCACTCTGGAAGGCTAAGTTTAAAGTGCAGTGTAAAGGCAGGAGAAAATCCCAAATGAAAGGCTCTGGGCACTGTTGCTATAGTGCATGTGTACTGTTTTTGGTTTAATGTGTAAATTTGTGATTCGTGTGCAATTCCATTTTATGCTGCCAGCTTTCACAGCAATTATTTTCCACAGCAACCATTATGCTAAATGTACAGAATGTACAGAAATGGTGAAAAGTTGATTACTGATATAAATATAAAAGTCACCTGTAATTAGAAATATACGGTTAAACTGCCTTTAATAATTCTGCACATTCATTTATTATAATATTATTTTGACGATTTCTAAGGCAGATTATAAATTGGATGGCTAAAGGACCAGAGCAAAGCTATTTTTTTAACTGTGATTCAAATTCAGAGTATATATGGATGGTCAGAGCCAAAAGATGTGCCAATGATTATGTAATAGTTTTTCTAAGGAATATTGTACATACAAGTAAGAAATGAACTAATTTATGCACATTAAACAGATAATCATTGCTGACATTTTGCCAGCATGGGTTTTGTCATTTGCTAAATGATGCGATGAGGAACTCAATCAGTATATTCCAGAACACAAGACGGAAACTACGGCCAAAGGGTTTCAAAATTTGTTTGCAGTTTTGGAATCACTCCAAAGCCAAAGCATGAATCCAAGCGATTAGTATTGTCCACGGCACCAGGACGTTTACACGTCTGGTAGCTGAGGCGATTCAGGAAGTGTTGTGTAAGGTGAAATTAAGATGACAGAGTAGCGTACAGTACACGCAGCGAGAACACTGTAGTCTGAACTTGAACACATGCCTTTCAACCTTATCTGTGCAAACAGGGATAACGTATAGCTTTCACGGAGGTAAAGATGATGCTGCTACTTGCCTCTGCTCATTCGATACCTCCTGTATGCTTCAAGCACGAGTAGAAATACAGTACTGTGAAGTATCCATGTGTCTATGCAAAGTAAAGATATCTGTTAATAACCACACCAGAAATCTTGAAGAAGGGTAACAGGTTATTGACACTGTATTAATCCAAATTATAAGGGGTCTATACTGTTCATGAATTCTCATTCCCTACACTGAAGCGTTACCAATAAAATTATTTAACAAAGCGAATCCCTTGAAAGTAGATGATACGGAGTTTAGCAATTAATGAGAAATAATAAAAAGAGTTTTACTCATTTAACTCACACTTTGCACCCCTTTACACAGCTGGGCATTTAGAATTCTACCTCACTCCATGGCTCAGCAGCAAAGGCACCTCATCTGGGATTTGAACCCATAGCCTCCTAAGTCTGAATCCACATTGGTCCAGTCCAATTCCCTACAGCAGAGTCTGAATGCCCTCCATCTTTGTGTAGGTTCTCTCTGGGTGCTGCAGTTTCTTCCCATATTCCAAAGACGGGGAGGCCAGGCAAACACTGAACAGGTGGAACAGGTGAAGGTTTATTCCAGGCTGAAAAGAGAAGAAAAGAAACACAACGTCTTGGCTGTGGAGCCTTCTTCAGATCACACCCTAAGAAGGCTCCACAGCCGAAAACGTTGTGTTTCTTTTCTTCTCTTTCCAACAAGGAATAAACCTTTACTTGTTCCTTTGCAGCCTACGCATGCTGACGCAGCTCCCTGCTTGAACAGCATGCTTGGGTGTGTGTCCAGGGTTGAGTTCCGTGGATGGCCCATGGGTTGCCCTGACCTGAACACGCAGATTCTGATGATGGCTGCAGGATCATGCCTCTGACACTTTGCCTTTCTGTCACACATGAGGAACTCTTTGCATCTGCTTCTGTATACTGCAGCCGACTTTTAATTCTGCAGCTGGCACAGACTTCCTTTCATAACAGAAGTGTTCAGTTTAATGCGGAAGACGTGATCATCAAAGGAAGAGAAAGGGGAATTTCTTCACCATTGCGACCTTTGTAATACGCTTTGGGAATTTAACTCCGGGAAAAAGCTTTTCCTATAATAAGTCTAATGGAAGCAAATATTTCTGAGTTCATGGATTATTATAAACCCATCTCTTTATTAATTTCTTTTTAACATTTATCGTAAAGAATTCAACACGTGTCAAACGAAGCACGATAATTTAGTTTTGTAAGCACAGCAGTACAGTATACGTGTGTCAGAATTTTTATTTGAGGGAAGAAAGCTAAAAAACTGACGTGCCCACTTGTACAGTGATATAAAAGAAACTTTAGCTATGATGCTTTATTACGATGGCGTCAATATTAAGGCAGGATCACCACAGATAGATGTACCTCCAGGGTTCAGATTTAATGATGCTTCTTGGGAAGCGTGTTAAACATGTGGGAACTGAAATATTATGCTGTGAACGTTTTACAAAGGGATTAAATTGCAAGGTGTATTTATTGTTGAGAAATGGCAGGGCTTGCTTCCTGTGTAAAACTGTGCTGCCCCTGAGGTATGAAAATTAACTACACTGCACTGTGCATCCCCACTCTTTAAAGCGCCACATAAAATTTTAGTTACTGCTTTGGAAAAGGAGCAGGAGAAGAGAGAGGGAGAGAGAGAGCGGGGGATAAAAAAAAGAATATGTAAAAGCAGGATCGACCGAGCCATCAGCCACAGCTTTGAATTATGTCAAGGTAGCAAGTCTCTGCAACTCTCGAAAAGCCAGTGACCACTCTCTGATGAGCTGCCAACTTGGCGGGGGTACCGCAGCGCCAGAGCCAAGATGCAAGCCTGGAGCTGCAAACCAGCCTCTCTGGTAGGGCTGCACTCCACATTCCCCCGGCAGCTGTGAACTTGGCTCTTGCCACTAGCTATATGCATGTGTTCCTCGTCTCCTCCCTCTTTGGCTTCACAAGGCAGGAGGTTGTAACAGTGCCCAGCAATTACTGAGTTGGCATGCGCTGCATTGTTTACTCACAGTCATATTCCTACTGGACTTTATTAAAACACCATCTGTTGTCAGTTCAGAAATGAAAAGAAAGGGGAGGGGGGGGTGTATGGAAAAGGAGCAACAACAACAAAAGAAAACAGTCAAATCTGCATGGCAGGAGAACGGCTTGTCTCAGAGATGCGTACCTGGAGCACTCGTCACGGCAGCTTGGAAGGAAGCGGCGCTAACGCAGACTCGCTGCACAGCTCGTAATTCTGTCAGCAGTCCCAACAGAAACGGTATTTTTTGAGTCATGATACTTTTCCTGGCATCATTTAAGCTTGAGTCTGAGACTCAACTGCCTGCTCTGAGAATGTTTTTTTTTTTTCTCTTCTGGGAGAAGTATCAACACGCACCAGTGACCACACACCTAGAAAGAGTCGTACAGTATTGCTTCAGCAGGTGAGAGACAAAGCCCAGCCATACTGCAAAAAGAGGAAGCTGCAACCACTTGTAAGAAATATCTTTTACAACTTTGTTTTGCTTCCTGTTTTTATTTTTTGTCTGTAGAACACAGACATACTTTAAAGGAGGTCTGTTATGAGAGATGTCTCATTCCTTGTGACCGAACTGAGAGCTTGGTACTAGTTTCTAATATTGCATCTGTTAATTTAATCTGTGTGAATATCAGATGGGTTTCCTGTTCAACTCGAACCTTAAAGTGATAATTTATGATATGTTTTACATAAGAGCTTAAGAAAGGTTACAAGAAAGAGGAGGCATGTTGGCTCATCCAGTCTGTTTGGTAGTTAGTAGCTAATTGAACCAAGAAGCCCATCCAGCTGTTTCTTGAATCCAGCTGTCTCTTCTGGGTAGCCCCACACTCCCACAACTTCTTGGGTAAAAATGTACCTCCTGTTCACTGTATATAAGACAACACAAACATGATTGTGTTGTCATTAATTCAGATAGTGAAAGTGGTTAAGTGCTAAATTGATTACATTTATCTCTGCCTCAACGCAAGTGTGAATCATATACTGTAGCTTTAATTCTATTAACTCTGGCTGGATTTCAGCTCCACAGTGTTTAGGGACTCCACGGTTGCTAATAGTTTTTTTTAATATCACTCTAAAACTGTAGCAGTTGAGCTCTGTTTCAGCTCCTTCTATTTCAGTCAAGTACTTGGAACAATCTGCAGCCCCTGTTCCATTATTAGAGGTCTTAGAAAAAGTAGCTCTCGTAATATCGATATAATATCCTGTAGGAAACATCTTAATTTTGTTGTTTTGAAATGTCCTGCCACAGACAGGGGTTCTTCCAGTAAAATGTGTTTGCTATTACAGAGAGAACTTTAGACTTTTTTGCAAGCTGTTACAGCATGAATTAGTTATAAAGAGAGAGAGAGAAAAAAAAAATTTCTTTGAGAAAGAATGAGGCAAGCTTAAGCCTCAAGAATTTAGGGTGCTTGTGTTACTCTCATTCTCATTGGTCCAAAGCAATGAAATGTCATGATTTTTTTCAGCCTCAGTTAACTGTTCCATGTAGGTCCAATCCACCTTTCAGTAACCCCTTCACAAACCCAGAACATACGCATATACAAATGGATGTAAAGTGGATTGTATGTATGAAGGATGATTTCATCCTTTTGTATGTTTTCAATTTTAAAGTCTAACTTACTGTACATGGAAGTCCATATGAGACTGACTGTATTGAAGTAAATGAGTCATTGTTGTTCTGCTGTTTCCATGTTTCTCATTGAATTTGATTCTGGGTAAACCCATGAGACGAGATGAAGAAAAGCTTGATTCTTGGGAGCTGAGGTTAGTGACCACTGGAGCACAAGAACAAGAAAGAAAAAAGGGAAATAATGATTTAAATGGGATTTTTTACAACTCTTTTGTTCTCAGAATAACTCTAGAGAGTCATTGATGGTCAATAAAACATCTATCTATGTCCACAGTACTGCTGTAATGATTTTTACTACGGGTCTATGCCCATAGTGAGGAAGCAAAGCTACACTGCTTTTGTCATTTCCAAAAAATCAGCCTAATTGCTTTAGACAAAAAGGCATTGTTTGTTTGTTGATTTGTATTTGAAGGTATGTATTTGAAAAAATGATTGAAATGGAGGAAAATGTTTACTTTTTAAGGCAAAGTCCATGTTTCTTCAAAAATAGTGGAATGCACATCAGCATAATATGGTCTCAATGGCTGGGTGTCTGCTTGGAAACCTTCGCTAAGGAGAGGCAACAAGACTGTGATTTCTATCATTTTCTGCTGGCGTGTGTCTTCCTGTTGCGGAACAGAAGTTAACACTGGTACTTGCTGAAAGGATAGTCTGCTGCTCGTCAGGCAGATGATTGATCATGAGGAACTTCACAGCTCTTAGGGAGATTACTTTTTCCTAAACTGATTCTGCTTTCTAAAGTACAGGTTTACAGTACAAACCCTGGAGATGAAAGGTGAAGTGAAACTGCAGGCTGTCAATAGGAACAGTGTTTGTGAGTTAAAAGTCTAATTTCTGTGCTACTACCATGCAAAGTTTTCTTCCAAGGGCCTCAAGGTGGTTTCATTGCCCCGACTTTTACAAGCCAAGGAGTGGTTTGGAACTTTCTGAGGGGCTGTTTCACAGATGGTGACGTTGTAGCATGTCAACGCAAGACTGCATTGGGTAGCGCTGTGTTATTACTCTAGCATTATTCATTTATAATGCTTTTCCAAGATCATTTCCAATGGCAGACATCCATTATCAGCATGCCAGATATTTGCATAATCAAAACCTGTGCTGCCCAGAGCCGCAAATTAAACAGAAAAGACGGCCTTTTGTCGAATCCCGACATCAGAGCACTTGTCTGGCTGTGAAAGCTGTGTTAAAGGAATTACTGATGCAAAAGAGTTAAAAAATATTATGGGTATGAACGGAAGAGAAAACTTGGGTTTTTACAATGAGTGCTTACAGACCACATTCTAATTGGATTCATATGTTGAAGCAAATGCTGTATGCTTCATGCACTTTTACACTGTGGAATGAGCACAGGACAGTTGGAGCACCTAAATCAGGAATGTCTGCTGAAGCCCAACATCCTATAAAAATCCAATTAAAAATCCAACAAGGTGCATGGGAAATGCCTCTGATTTGGGGGCACACAAGTGTTAAGGAGCACTTGTTAGATGAGGGTGATATTGGAATGTCACTCCGCATTACACCTCAACTTGCAGGCATCATATCCCTGGATGCACACGGCACACACAAGAAGAAACTCACGGAACGTGACAAATAAATTGGCCCTGGAGCCGTCTGAGGTGAACATCCTCTGAGGGGAGTGAAACCAAGTTTTACACTACAACTGCAGTTCATGCAAGAGCTTCTAGGTTACGGGTAATGGCTGTTAAGTTTTAAGGTTTTCAGCACTGAGTTTTGGAAAGTAGGCCTCAGGCCTGGATGAAGCTTCCCTCCCCTGGGACAGAATTCAGGGAACAATTATTCCAAATAAAGGTCTGCATGCAACGTAAAGTATTATAGAATCCCAGCCTCATATCCATGAGAAAATCCACATGAACAGATGTATGTTTTAATCTTTTTTTTCTCTAACAAATCAACACCAGACCTTCAATTTCCAATTTCAATGTTTTGGGACTGTGCTCAACGTTTTCAAAATGTTTTTTTTTTAATCACAGCTTCGTCTTGAGATTCAAACATTGTTTCATCCGTCCTTCATACGTTTTTTTCAATTTGTACATTTCACGAATTGAAAAAACCATTGCTGTGGTTTGAGGAAGAGTCATCTCAACAAAGCTTTCTAAACTGTGACTCTTCTCATCATTCCTGCCCCTCAACGTGCTGTTGCCTTTAATAAGGTTCTGAACAACTAAAGACTCATCGTTTAGACATATTTGCAGCACCCAGTTGCTTTGTAACACTTTAATCTCACAAGCATTATCTAGTCCGCACTTCGGATTATGTGTTATTTTGAAAATAGCCAAATGAGAAACACGTCAATCAAAGATCATGAAGCTAAAGGATTTATGCTTGATCATTTCACCTGTGTTGCACTTGTCTTTTAGAAGCTGGATGGATGAAATAAAAGGCATTATGCTGGAGAGGATGGAGGGGTCCCAAGAGGTCCAACTAGTCACAGTGCTGGATGACAGGTTGAGCCCTACGGACAATTAACCAACTGTGACCATAACCTTCAAGAGCAGCAACTATTGGCTGAGTACCATCAAGGTGGGAGGGTATAGATTAGCTAGGGCCAATAAGCAGCGAAATCCTGTGCCTTGCTGGGAAGCAGCTTTGACAGACAGAGTTACATTGCTCCTTGATCTTAACTATACTTAGGATACAGCGGTCTCCCAATTTGAATGAGAGATATATACAGACCATGACTTTTAGAGGAAACCACACATGGCACTCACACTGGTGAGAATAGTCATTAGTGGGCAGTTAAAATTTTGTAAGAGCTACTTATTTCATTACCATATTTGCTTGATGCACATTATAATAATTATGGTACAGGATAACAGAATGTGATTATCTGAGAATCCAATTTGCAACTGTTTTTCAATATCTCATAAATATTTTAAAGAAGATATTATTGATGTACTACGGAAGCTGCTATGTTATAAATAAACCCTTTCAAAGATTTGTTTCTTCTGTTATCTGTGGGGGTGGGGATGCTGAGGAAGTATTGATTCAATGGCAACCTCTCACAAGATTAGGAAAACATACTTGATGATATGACTAAAGTTTCAGCCTCTGTTCATATATAAACAGAATATTAAAACCTCACAGATTATTATAGCCAATAAAGCTCATTGTAGTTAAGTAGCTACTGTTTGGTTTAATGCTTTTTAGTTTATTGCTAAAGTACTGCCATCTTATAATTTGAATTAAATTTCCTTTGTCATTCCTATGAGACAAACGCAAAGAGGCCCAAACTCCAGGCTCCTCTAAGAAATCTAAAGGAAATCAGCTACATGTACGTAGCTACTAAGCCACTGAATGAGCAAGAATGGACAAATGTTCTATTCATTTTTGCCACCCTTGATCTGTTTTTAATGAAAGTTCAGGAGGAGATAAAAAATAACCTTGTCCACTTTTGCCTACCAACATACAAACTGTTAATACCATTCAGGACCATCTCTACTTCCACCTGAAGGAAACCCAACTCCAGTGTTCCCACTATCCCAGCAGGCCCCATTCAGATGTCAAATTTCTCCCAGAGCTCAACAGTCTCCAGCTCTGATCTGGAGATCACACTCCTCCCCACATCACACTCTTCCCATCTATCTGTCTGTCTCTCAAACTTGCGCCCCTTGCTCTGTGGCTGTATCAGTCATCCTCCTGCCCTCTGTCTCCTCAAGCCCACAAGCCTCCAGCTGTTATGAACGAGTAGTTCTGAACCCTGCGCAGGTCGCAGGAGAGTCCGATGGCTACGAGTCCAAGAGGAGCAAGGCAGAAGAGTTGTCGGTAGTTCAAGGCTAGAGGTCGGAGTCCGGCTGGAGAGGCAAACGATTCCAAAAAGGGTCGAAAGAGTAGTTGAAAGGTCCAACACTAGAAAGGTCTGTGTGTCGGTAGCCAGAGGTTCGGGGACGTGCCGGATTTCCCTTCGGGACTGTAGTGCCTAGGGCCTACGAAATCTTTAGGGCCCACGAAGGAGGGAAACACTAGTGACTAATGAAAAATGAGCTGAAACAACATGCTTGCGATCAACTCTAGGTGCTCCAAATCCATAATCACACGCTATCTAGCGGCTGTTCTAAAAACTAGAAGCATCAAAGCGATGGTCGCTCCATCAATTACGTGGTTTAGCATTAGAATAGTTTAAAGTGCATCGTGTCAATTGACATAATTCAACTGGCGTTTACCCCTCTTTTTACACATTTCGGAGTGAAAGTGCCTGGGGCCTATGAACACCAAAATTCGGCCCTGCTTAGAATCCTCCCTGGTCCTGAACTCTGTCGGCATCCATCCTTTATCTTCCTTCTCCTGACTCACTCTTCTCTTCTAACACTGCCTCACTCTTTCCCTCCTCCTCTCTTTTCTTTCCATCCCCCTTTTTCATCACCAGGCATCCTGCCCACCACACCTTTGGCCCCAGCAGGCCTCGTCCTCATCCTCGCCTTCCCCCTTCCATCTCTTCCTGCCGCCCCGCACGAGCCCTGCATCCTGTGCCCGTCAGCCCCTTGCTCGCAGCCTCCAGCGCTTTCAGAACCCGAACTGTGGTTTCCTGTCCCCGACCGGCCTGGTCCACTCAGAGAGATAGGCTGAGTTAAGCAGACCAGGCTGACGAATTCCAAATCCAAACCGTCCCTACTCTGACTTAAATATGGTTTCCGTGAACCTCCGAAAATGAACTTTAAATGAACGTTCAGAAGAAAGTCAAGCCCTCTTCTTGCACATGTCTACCTGTGCACGATATCACGATTCTACCTTATCCACTGGCATGGTTCATTTCACATCCTACTTACACAGCAGCTCCCTGTCACGATCGTCGTACTTCTCCTCTTTCTAGTGCTCCTACCCTTTCGTATTTTAGTTCCTTATGTGCACCTGCCCACTGTTTTGCCTGATACGATTTAAGCCTGGCACTCCCGCTATTCTTGGGTCGGCATTGGGAGATGGACGCCGGGAAGCCCGCCTACCAGCAGGTCCAGGAGAGACCCGACGGCATCGGCTTCATCACGACGTCCTGACTCGGAGCACCTGGCCTCGTCATCCTGTTTTTAACTTCCTGTTCCTGTTCCGGATCCCCTTCCGGATTTTAACTTTGTCTGGTTTGATGGTTCTCCCGGCACCTGGTCCCTGGACTGCACCCCGGATTTCCCCCATGGACTGTTTGGACTTGTTTGCCTGTGCCAGGCCCCCCCGAGCACTGGATCACCATCGTCACGCCCCCCTGTCTGTCAGCCCGATCCTGATCCTCATCGTGTTTTTCCTGTTGTCCTTTTCCACTTACTTCTGGGTTATACCGTCTGCATAGGGTCCTAACTACGCACTTTATGGGAGCCTGAACCAGATCCCATTACACTCCCTGACTCCTTCCTTATAAAGGGAGGATGGATTGGACTCCAAACATTGTCAACAAAAATAAACCACTTTAAATCACAAAACACCTTAATTATATACCTGTGATCCCACAGTACATACCAACTTCTACACCCACAGAAACATTATTTTCTCCCCATCTCTCCATAAGAATTATTTTAATCGACTTCCAGTATGTACAGTATTTACGAATGGCCTCCAACATAATATTCAGTTAAATGATGTTTGTATTGGTGCCTTTGTCCATAAATCATGCCGGAGAAAAAGCCGTGGTAGCAGAAGAGTCACGAGCTTCTGCCATAAACATTGTGATTGTGGTTTCTGAACGTAAAAATCCAGGAAGACAGAGCTCATCAAGGAGTCTGTAGTTCTCCCTGGGCTCACTACCGAAGTGGAGTTAGGCCCCAGGAGTAGTCTTGACTCCACAGCCTGCAGTGGAATTTTTTTTTTTGTTCTGTGTGATTTGTGACGGGCTGTTGTGAGTCTGGCGTTGCAGGACCTCAGCTCAAAAGACCTCATGAGGACTGATATTTATTGCCTGTGACATGTTCCAACCCTCCAAGTACCCCTCCTCTAAGCCTGCCTCCTACAAGTACCTTTTGTGTTGCTAAATCTGGTTGGATGCACCCCTCTAACTTTGAATCCCGTCTCCTATTGTTTCCCATTGATAGGGAGGGTGACTCCATCTGTGCCTTGATCGCATGGCGCTGTTCTCTCAATAGGCATATGGGCCATGTGTAAAAGCCTTAAACTTGCAGCAGAATGGTAAAAAACTGACTGTGATACACAAGACACACTTGTCCTCACAGTGCTAAATCATTCAGCACACCATTGTGTTGAGTGTGTTCAAAATGTAGAAGGCTTTTTCTGCATATCAGGAAGTGTAACAAAAGCTTTAATACAAATTAAAAAATCACATTGGTTTAATTAAAAACAACTTTCACGTGTTTCCTGTAAAATAATATAGATGTTAGAAGTATGCCGAAACATTATGAAAAGAATTGTACCATTATTCTAATCAATTCACTTTCTTTTCTATTTACATTATATATAAAACATACTTGAACAGTATAATGTATATATATATATTTTTCTTTTGAAAATTTCATTGTCCTTTACACACAATGTCATATTAATCACCAAAATGTTTTGCTTCAATTTTAATTCACTTAATATTTTTAGTTTAATTGGAACTACCTTTTTGATGTTTTTATTCGCTTTTGAGTCTGAATTTCTTCTTCATGTGTAAACATATAGTATTAGTGGTGACAAATTCAAAAGAAAAAAAACAGCCTGGACTAAATCAATGGTTTCACCATGTCGATATTCACTAATTTGTTGTTCAATATTTATTTCTTCATAATTCTTTCTCTTCAACAATGCCATGAGAGACAAGTCTAAAATATTTTAAATACAAGCATGATCTTTTTCCAAACAGACTGAACTTCTCCTTTAGTATGGCAAATTCAATCCATAGCACAAACCATTTGATTTTATCTAGTATAGTTCTAGCTGTCAAAGCCTGCACAACAGTGACAATGTTGTAGTAACTATCTAGATTTGAAAGTGTTATGTACTGGTTACTGGGGGTTTCAAGTGAAAACTTTAAAAACCTCTGTCATCATCTTTTACTGAATTTTATAATTAAGACACAGCATGAAGTTGTTGATAAAAAAAACTACCTGACAGTATCATACTGACAGATGTATGAAAAGTAACTTTTATCTCAATTTATTAGCAGACTCAGTAGAATCTATTATTTCAATAATAATAAAAACTTGATTTGAAATACCATATGTGATGTTGTCTTTTCAGACAATTTTGCTGCTTAAAACTTTTTTATTATTTTTTTTATTTTTATTTCAAAGGGCTGAAAAAACAAACCTTTAAAATGACCATGTACAGAGTAAAGATAAAACGAATGTTCTTTTTTAAAAATACAAATCTTTAGCAATTTTTATGGTCCCTGCTGCATTCGGTCAGATCTCTCCCCTGGATGTCAACAAAGCAAGGTTTTAAAAGTGAGACACGAATGCAGGTCATTTCCCGGGTTCTGTGACTTTGCTGTGGCGTCCTGAGAGTTTTGTTAGAAAATGGAAAAGCGCAGACCTCTTTCTCCATGGTGTGCTTTCTGCGTTTCTGCCATGACCCCCATCCCGTCTCACCCCCCCCCCCACAAAACTGTTCTTTGTGTCCCAAGCAGGAGGCTCATCGATTACAAGGCCGCAGCACAAAGCGACCTAATGAAGGGTCAGTATTAATGAGGAAAGCGGCGGGCTGTGATGTGGTGTGGCTCAGGCCTGCTCCCGCTGAGATCTGCCATGTAGCACTTAGCCCTCCTTTTGGAAAGCAGGGGCATGAAAAATCAACAGCGCTCAGCCTGGTGCCTGGTGCACAGAATAGACCATGTGCGAGGGTATTTAGTGCTGTGAAAGGAGGAGCATTAGATCAAATGGGAGTGAACATAAGGAACTCTCCCGGGAAGAATGGAGGCCCAGGTCCATTTTATAGACTCCCCTGAAAGAAAGTGATTACAGATCATTATCCAATTGAAGCAGATTGATGGGCTGGGGTCAAA